AGTGAGAACAGTCTGTCAACTTTTGACTTTGACTCTTTCTTCTCCAGCTCAGTGGAAATTCTCAGAATTCTCTCTACGTCAGCCTGACATGCTGCAAGTTCAATCTGTTTATCCGTTCATCTTCCACAGTAGTCGGTACTTTGATTAATATCCAACTTTGGTTCTTGCTTGAATCTTGCTTTCTTACATCACCAACATGATGATTTCCACAGAAATAAATTGTCTTTTCTGACTCGCCACGCGCGATATTTTTAGTCGTATCAGTCTTCATTTCTAGTCGTATCAGTCAACATCATTTCTCTATCGTTCACATGTATTCTCTTTTGCTTGTTTCTCCAAATATATACTTCAAAAATCCTAATATATCCAACACAGTCTTGTGTTGGTCAGTGCAGTACCGGTTGAAAACCGGTTCTCACTTTTCACCCTTCAGAACAACTACATCTCTGTTGGCATCTCCCCAGCACAAGCAAAAAGCTTCCCCAGAAATCCAAGGGCATTGGCTAATATTTATTATTTGACCAACCTACATGGATGTCTCCACAGGGGTTTCCCTGTTGGAACTACTTGATAATCCTACCAAGATACCAATGCCTCTCTTCAAGTTGGAAGTGTAGAAGAACCTTGTGCCATGGAAGACATGGCCCAAGCAGCAACATACTTGCTTTGAGGACTGCATCAAGTACTTCAGAGGCACCAGTGCTAATCCTGTTGTCATCAATAACATTGAGGCTACACTCACAGACACGTCAGCCACATCTCCTGTGTCCAAATCTCCTGTGGCCAATGATATGGCCACACCTCCTGTGGACAATAATGCTGCGTGGCATCCTGAATCCCCCCGGGCCTACCAATGATGAAGAAGCAACCCATTCTGGCCAGGACTGCCATGCCATCAACAAGGTTGAAGTCAAGTACAAGAGGGCCCAAAAGCATCCTTGCGTCTTCTGCAAAGCACCACATTCTTTTGCTGAATGCTCTCTTCTCAAGAGTATGGAGTACCTCAAGGGAGTTGCTATTTGGAACCAGCAACACATCAAACAAGAGGTCACTGCCCGTTGCCAAGTCTTCCCTGACCAACTTGAGCGAACGTTGAAGACTGGACAGCCGGATTATCAATTGGGCTGTTGTTAATCAACAATATTGACTTGGAACAATGCCACCCAACCCACCTCCGCTTGTCCAACAAGTCAGAGAATCCGAACCAACAGGGGCTGACCACAACATTCACTTACCTTCAGACACTGCTGTGAAATGTTGTGATCAGGGGAGAGACAATCAAATACTGTGATCCAGCTCTGACGCCAACAACAGATTGTTACATGGGGAATATGATTCTGTCAAGGGTGAGAAGGATGACAACTCAAGCTCTTCTGGTTGGGGGAGAGCTGATGAGGAGTCTCTGAACAAAGCACATGATAAAGCAGATTACCATGCCAGCTTACCTTCTACTGCTGAAATTTATTCACTTGATGCCAGCTGTGGACATGATCATCACATTCCTGGTTACGTTGTGAACTATAGTGACATTCTCACTAAGATTGTATTCCATTTTCCTAGTGAAGATGGTGCCACTTAACCTTGAAAAAGGAAGCAATTTGGAACCTGTTTGCAGATGCCAATGGCATAATAATAATTCACAATTTTAAAAGTAACAGGAGTTTCTGAGACCATGTAAGCACTTTCAATTGCTCTGAAGATTGGGTTACTTGGCAGAGTGGCAGCAAAATATTGCTATTACATTTGCTATGTATTTGGCTTTGTTTCATCTTAATTGAAGTGTTTGAAGTGAAATAACAGCAGTATGACTTCTCTTGCAACTGACTCACAATCGGTTTTGACGACGACAAGCCTGCCGCTTGACTGATGTCCGCCAGAACCAAAATCCAACTAGTGTATTGCTTGGCAGCTGGGGGGGATAGCTTGGGCAAGAATGCTGCTGTGGTCAGCTGGGCCAGGAAATGTTTGATTCATGCACAGAACGTGCGGTGAAGATTGGTCTAGAGGCAAATGTCCATAGAAATGTTCTTCTGCCTCATCCAATACAAGATGACAGGACCCACAGCAAATTTTGCATTTGTGGGTGACTGCAAGACGTTTGATAGAATTGACCAACTCGAAGGTGTGGTAATTAAAAGGGGCAACCTTTCCTCCCCTGAATATTATTCAGATCATTATTTTGTGCATGTAGAAATCCTACGTTACATTTTGCATGAATGGCGGCTATGTTTAACAAACACACAATTTAGCGTGCTTTTCATTTTGTCCGCTGTGTCGAAAACCACAATTTGGACGTGAAAAAATTGTTTAGGTTTCCAGCAAGTTCGAAAGAATCGTTTGAGTCCACAAAAAATCATTTGAGTCCACAAAAAATCAATATTTTTTGAAGTACGTGGTCTGTCCTCTGTACATGTAGTTTTGTAGTCTGAAAGGATCTGGTAGTCACAAGTTTTCCTTGTCTATATTTTGTCCAGTAATTGATCTGTTTTGGCTGACTAGCAGCGCATTTTAACGGTTTATCAGACCCAGAAGCTCTTTGTTGTGAGCTAAAGCTTGAGAAGGCTTTTTGAAATAATATCTGGTCTCCAAAGTTTGTGGTTGACCGGCAAAGGTTGGATCGCCCATTGTCAAAGGATCCGTGGTTTTCACGTCGCTACATTTCAGTCTCGAGCGTTGACTGAAGACGGCCACTTGTTTCCGTTTAAATTGTTTGGTTGCAAGTAATTTGCCACACGGGTAGACATACCCAGGATATCTCGCTCGATACTCCGTATATAATTATTTGTAGTGCGATTCTTTTAATTAAGATCTCACACTGAAGTAGTCGTGCAAAATTGCATTATACGACTCCCATCAGAAACTGAAAACAACTGGCAAAACGAAAATATTGAAATTTGTGCCGTGTTATTTTTACAACAACACGAAAGACATTGAACGATGGCCGCTGCGAGAATCGCATGGAGAAACTACATTTGAGATGTTCTCGATTTCTCTCAGGATGAGGCACAAGAGATTGTTATTGAACAGGGCTTCAGTTCCCCTGCTTTCTTTGCCCGCTCGACGCGCGAAAATATTGATTCCTTGGTGAAGCATGTTAGAATAAAGCAAAATGTGCTCTATCGTGAGTGCCTTTAGCGCTCAGAACAAACTCTCTGCAATCTAAATTTGTAATCGACTGTACAACACTTTCACGACAATAGTTCTCCTGTGTCTAGGTATACTTTGAGTGAAATTGTTCTTATTTGATTAATGTTTGGCTTGAATTGATGATTCAATCACAAAAGTAAGTTCAACGATTTTTGTTGAAATTGCTCTCTTGGAGACCATTCATTGGAAACTCCTTGATAGAAGCAGTTTGACACGTCTGATCGGACACACGGACAAATGTCCATTTGGTCCGTTTATTTGGGGGATTCCTATGAGTCGGTTTTGCAGGGAATCTGAAAACATGGAATTGTGGGCTTGGACTAACAAACGTCTGAGCGCCACGAAAATCCCAGACTGAATCCTGCGGGAGTTCTGTACGTGGGTTTTGTACCGGCCTTTCTGGATTGAGGCAGTGGGAATTCCCCCTTTTCATTTTATTTTGTCCCCGCGATATTTAACGCGATTTCCCACAACTAGTTGTGGGAACAGTTTTTTGCCAAAAATTCCCACAACTAGTTGTAGGAATCTTAACAAATAGTTGTGGGAAATTCCTACAACTAGTTGTGGGAATTTCCCACAACTAGTTGTGGGAATTTCCGTTGCTCAGATGTCCGTTATTTTTGCCTTAAATGTATCACGAAATATCACGAAAATGGGACCATACATTACCATCGTGGTCGCGACTACCACCTCGTCCGCGACCCCCACCACGTCCATGTTGATTACGATTACAATTACGATTACGGCCACCACGATCACAACCACCATTATCACGATCACGACCACGACCACGGCCACGTCCGCAATTGGAGTTTCGTCCCCCACCATCGACCGCAGCTAAGGCTCTTGTACCGCTAATTGCAGTTAAGCGATGAGTTTGCTGGGTCGTATTTTCAGTCTGTAAAGTGTTGATAGCCATGCGCAGGTGTTGCATACATGCTTGACTTCCTCGGACAAGTGTCTTACAGGCGTCCAAGCCTGCGCCCTGCGGGCCTTCTTTGATCATGCTCAAGAACTTGGTTACCTTGGCATGTTCCGACATGCCATCGCCACATTTTTTAATCTTCAAAGGCACCAATAACCCGTGCCGCAAATTTTTCAAAACTAAAATTCTTCTTTCCATTGTAGTGGGTCGTATTCAAGATGCGATAGGCAGAGTCGCGTCTCTTATTGAGTTGGCCCTCACCCTGATAGTGGGCAACCAGATCAAGATACGATTGTCTTCCATTTTCTGTAGTCTTGTATCCCTTTATAACAGGCCAAGCATCGGTTCCATGGCATACCGAATATAACATATTCCACACAGCTTTGTTATTAGCGACAAACTGGTCCTCTCGATGCAAG